TCCATTGAAGGTACCAGGAGGGGAAATAAGAGGAAGAACTGCAGAGTGGGGCCCAAATCAAGAACATCAGAGCAATAGTAATGAAAAAGCACTTAAAAAAATGTAAAAGGAAGAGCAGGAGGAAAGCAGAAGAATCACACTGGGATTATCATAGCTAAATCTGGAGTTCTGTCCCTTCTGTGTTTTTCCTGGAGGCTGTACAGACAGTGAATAGGTAAGCAGAGCATTAATTCAGTCTAAAAAATCCATTTGTCAACTGTGAGCTGCAGATATCCTTTCTATTGTTTTTTCAGCTTGAATTCTCAAAAGTGTTAAAAGTTACTTTTTAAGTGCATCTCAGATTTCTCCTTTCCCCGCTCTCTACCTATATGCTCTGAAGTATTTGCTAAATACATATTTATTTGCATGTATATACAAACAGAAATTATAGCTCCGAATACAATTAAGTAGTAATTACATTAGAGTGTCTGACTCTCACCGCTGCGACCCGGGTTCGATTCCCGGCCCCCTGGGCAGGTGGAGCTCGTCAGCCGTGGAAGGCAATCCACCTAAGAGAAGGTCACTCTAAACAAACCTACATCCTGGGGACCTCACTGCCACTGTCCAAGCTTTGCTCGGCCCCGGCAGATGAACCTCAGGACTAAAGGGTGGGCTCAGTTCAGCGCACGCTGTGTCTCACCTAAAAATCCACTGCGCAGGCTGGAAGGGTTAATGACCTTTCCCAAATCTTCGCTCGCGAAGACTGGCCATTATTATATATTTCCACATTGCTAAGGGGAAATGTTTCCTTTCGTCATCTCTTTCTCCACACAAGTGCTGCACGGGCTTTTCTTGACAGCTGCATCACAAGTGGAAACAGCCAGAGTAACCATTTAGGTATCACCATGAGGTTGTGAAATAAGTCTGCCAAGTGCCTTGTTCTTTAAAAAAGTCACTGTGATGGCACTGCTTAGGGCAGCATTACTGGGTAAGTGGGTTTGGGCATGCCATTAGAATTGGCTCAGAAATGAGCATAGGACAGCATGCAGAGCAGTGTTTGCTGAGATTCCCTGTTTCCTGGTTTTGATTAGGCAGCACAGGCTGAAACCCAGTGACACTGCCTGTTTTCTGCCTAGGAGCTTGCTCTTGTGTGGATGTCGATGCCAGTTTTCCAGCCTCCTTTCTGGAATCTTATTTAAATCAGATGTCTGTACTGTAGGTCCTACAGCTTGCTTCTACGGGGGGAGGGATAAACAAACAGCACAGAGTGAATGTACACTATCAGCTTTGGAAGGGCTGGAATTAGGAAGGAAGTGGGAGACAGCCAGAGCAAGGATTTTTGGGGAGGGCCTGGATGTGAAATCCCACTGCAGCAGCTGAAGGGGCTTATGCCCCAAAGAGGTTGCCCCCTATCCCTACATGGGGTTTGTCAGGGCCATCCCCAGGGGCAGGGATGTGCTCAGGGCCTGGATGATAACAGACCAGAGTGGCCTATGCAAACTTTGTTGATAAACTCTTGTGTTTCCTTTAAGCACATAAGCTCTTTCTATGGAGATAAACATGCAATGCTGCTGGCAGCAGTGAGAATAGCACTAATGAAGGTGTAGAACAGCGCTGTTGGTCCATGTCAAAGAGCTCACTGCGTCAACCCAGATGCTGGAGCAGATAGTAACCACACATAGGCTGAAACGCTGTGTTTTTGCACTAACCAGCAGATTTTGTGTTATGACTGGCCACTGAACAACAAAGTGATCCAACTGTACATTTCCTTTAATCATCACAAGTGCTTACTTTGTATTAAACTGAAATGACTGCAGGACTAGATCACAGCAGAGAAATGATAAGTCTTGTCACAAACCCTGTTTGCCCTGGCAGGACGCAGGTTCTGTGGTTTGGACTATAGCACATCTGTGCCCTTCGCTACACTACAGGCATCACAGATGCCCATTTCAGATTTGAGTTTGGCTCTCTCCCACCTGCCTTGGAACCTGTTTAGTTTTCTCTTTAGAGACCAAAAAGTGTGCCCTGCTAAATTTTTCCAGGGGCAAAGTGGGGGCTAAAGGAGATACCATGGCAAGATGGTCTAATCCTCTGTTTCTCTGTTTTCACCAACTGTGAATCTCTTTGAGAGGCTGGTGTCTGTCTCAGAGCACATGGTGGTACATGTCCCTTGCTGTCCTGAGGTCCTGCCAGCTGCTGGAGGTCCAGCCTCAGCTCTGCAGATCCCTCCTATGTGCCTTGGTTTTCTTCATGGGAAAAGAAAGGCATAGGCAAAGAAGAAATATTTGTGCACATATCTCATCCTGATCTAGATTCAGAGCCCAGCTGGGCTTAGTGGAACTGCTTCCAGACACTATGTTTTTGACATGGCCTGTGTATGACGCCACCAAAGACAATTTCTTAAGTGACAAAATTGTTTCTGGGAAAATAAACTGTGTGGTATTCTTGATATTTTCTAGTTTTTTATCTCTTTTAACAAAAAGCTTTCGAGAGGCTTATGACTTCTTGATATTTTATCAGGGGATTTAGTACTGTCCTTCGAGTTATTTTGGTTTGCAGGGTAGAAAACAATGGGGGAATGATAATATCAATTGCTTCCTCATATTGTTTTTATTTATTTTTTTCCTCCTATGTTTTGGGAAATAGTTGGGTTTCACATGAGGCAGCACACTGAATAGTCATCTGTTGTCCTGGGTCAGTTAATGCCAGACAAATTACTCTGGGAAACAATTCTCTTCTGATCTTCATTTTTATGGATACTTGTATTAGTCGCTCATGTGGATTATGTGGAGTCGTATCATAAATATATTTTCACCCTGTGCTTTTCACCACATATTTTGTGAAGTGCAGTAAAAGGACAGCATATTTTTGTATAGTTCTTTGTTTACATGATAAACTGGTAATGCAAAGTTAGATTAAGGTTTGATGTGAATTTACCACAGATTACAATATAGGCTCTATTGAATTTATCATAGAATCATAGAATCGGTCGGGTTGGAAAGGACCTCTGAGATCATCAAGTCCAACCCTTGATCCACTACCACCCTGGTTACTAGACCATAGCATTGAGTGCCACCTCCGTTTTCATCTGAAAAACCTCCGGGGATGGAGAATCCACCACTTGCCTGGCCAGCCCATTCCAATGCCTCATTACTCTCTCTGTAAAGAATTTCTTCCTAGTATCTAACCTAAACCTCCCCTGGCAGAGCTTAAGACCATGCCCTCTTGTCTTACTGAGAGCTGCCTGGGAGAAGAGACCATCCCCCACCTGGCTACAACCTCCTTTCAGGGAGTTGTAGAGAGTGAGGAGGTCTCCCCTGAGCCTCCTCTTCTCCAGGCTAAGCAACCCCAGCTCCCTCAACCTCTCCTCATAGCACTTGTGCTCCAGTCCCTTCACCAGCCTCATTGCTCTTCTCTAGACCTGCTCCAGCACCTCCACATCCTTCCTGAACTGAGGGGCCCAGAACTGGACACAGCACTCCAGCTGTGACCTCACGAGCACTGAGTCCAGGGGAAGAATCACTTCCCTGCACCTGTTGGCCGCACTGTTCCTGATCCAGGCCAGGATACCATTGGCCCTCTTGGCCACCTGGGCACACTGCTGGCTCATGTTCAGCTTCCTGCCAATCCAAACTCCCAGGTCCCTTTCTGCCTGGCTGCTCTCCAGCCACTCTGTGCCCAGCCGGTAGCACTGCAGGGGGCTGTTTTATCCAAAGTGCAGAACCCAGCACTAGGCCTTGATCCCGTTAGAATCAGCCCAGTTCTCTAGTCTGTCCAGGTCCCTCTGCAGAGCCCTCCTGCCTTCCACACAGCAAAAGTCCCAACCAATTTAGTGTCATCTACAAATAAACTGAGGGTGGGCGCAATCCCACATAATTTTTATTACCTCGATGCAGGTGACAGCTACTGCAGGTAAAAGAGCTCTCTTTCCTCTGGTCCTTATATCTGTCTAAGATATAAGAATCATTCAATAGAATGGTTTTCTGTAGTGTCTTCCATCTGCCAGGGGGCACCTGAGCTGGGGGCAGGGTCTGGGATCAACTTCCAGGGCTCTGGGATGTGAGGCCGCCTGCTGCTCCGAGAGCATCCAGCTGTCAGACTATTTCAATCAAAGTTTCCATTTAGCCCCATTAACTGGGTTTCTGCGGTTTAGAAATGGTCCTCCCCAATTTAGTGCCCTCACCGAGACTCTCCTTAAGCACAACGCTGCTCTCGCACTCTCTTTTCTCCTCCCCCTTCCCCCTGCCACGGGATCGATTTCAAAATTGGGGCACAAAATGTGAAGATCACAGTTTGGGAGAAGAAGAATTTCCCAGAAACAGCAGTGAGAGAAGAAAACAAACCCTGAGAGTGACAATATTCAGACAAAAGCATACAAAGGGGAGAGTGATTCCTGTGCAAAAATGCTCGCTGCCGACCCAGGGTTTCACTGAACACTACTGGATGTCTTCCCCCGCCTTCTCGACCAGAAGCCACGTCCTTCTTCTCGGAAGTCAGCGAGTCGCTTGCCACCAGCACTGGCAACGATGCCAGGGGGTACCCAATTACGTTAGGCTACGGCCACGTCTCCCCAACCGCACCACTGCAGGGCTAATGGAAAAAAAACTAAGCCTTTCACGGCAGGAAGCAGGACACTTGCGTGCATACGAGCAAGGGATTCAAAGACTAAAAGGGGAGACATACTCCAGTTTGAAATTTCAGAGGATAGTTTTTCTTTCCCCTGAGCAGACAAAAGCTACTGCAGGTCTAAGACCTCTCTTTCTTTGAGTTCTTCTATCTGGTGAAGCTCCAAGGATGAAGGCCTCTAAGGCTTTTCTAAAGTTTCTCATCTCTGCCGTGGAAGGCCTACACCAGCAGCAGGGTGTGGGGTGAGCTGTCGGGGCTTTGTGATGCAGGGCTGCCTTGTGCCTGGAGACCACTGTGACATGGCGGCCAGCCCCCCTGGCCGTGGGGGGATTGCGGGAGCCCTGGGGTGCCCAGTGCCAGGAGAGCAGCTCCCGCAGGAGGCAGCATCTCCCTCGGGTGCTTTGGCACCTCTCTGCCAGAGAATGCCAAAGACAGAGGTGGAGAACCTTGCCGAGAATGCAAATTCTCAGCTCCGTGAGGAGAACTCGGAGACAGGGCGCCAAGTGAGGGATGGGGCAGGAGGGAGAGGCTACCAGTGGGACAGGGCTGGCACAGGGATTGCTGGCATTGGGGGATGCCGTGCCAAGGCAGTTGCCTCCATGCCATACCACCTCCTGCGTTTCCTTCCCGCAGGCGGGCAACACCCAGCCCCATGCGGCGCCTCTGGAGAGCCTGGGCCGGGCCTCGGCCCTCCACGGCGACGGCCTGCCAGTGCTCCCCGGCCAACAGAGCTTACAGGCCACCGGCAGACACCAAGCCATCGTGCCAAGCAAGACGGAGCCTGCGCAGGGGCTGGGGACCAGCCGCCAGGCCCGCCCCAAGCTCAGGGCTTCCTGGAGCAAAGCCACCCTGCCATGGCAGCAGCACTGCCTGGAGGAGGAGGAGCTCCCAGAGCAGACGGGCCACGACCATCTGGCCTCCCTGCCATGGCTTGATGGCAGAGCCAGGCAGGTAAATGCCAAGGACGGGAGGGGATGGCATCAGATGGGACAGGGGCATGAGCCTCCCTCTCCTGGGGCCAGCCGCTGCACTGCACTGCTGCAGCCCCATCACCTCCCACGACCCTGTCCCAGCGGCTCCTGCTGCCAGCTGCCCAGCACGCATTTGCTGGGGGGGGAAACAGGAGACCTTGACAAAGCACCCAATCCCAGAATCCTTAGGCTTGCAAGGGCCCTCTGGAGATCATCCACTGCAACCTCCCTGCCAAGCCAGGCTCACCTGAGGCAGCTCACACGGCAATGCGTCCGGGGAGCTTTGCAATGCCTCCGCAGACGGAGATTGCAGCACCTTCCTGGGAAGCCTGTGCCAGCGCTCTGCCACCCTCAGCGTCAAGAAGTTCTTCCTCCTCACCTTGAGGGAGATCTCCTCCACAAATGTCTCTCTCTCCTTTCTCATCTGCCAGGCAAACCCAGAGCTGACAGGCCTGGAGGGACTGGAGGCCATCTCCAGCCAGCAGAAGGTGCTGGAGTGGCTCGAAGCCTATTTCGACGCCAGCACTACCTACGCGCTGCCCGCTCTGCCCTGGCAAGAGCCCTGGGCGCCGGCGCTGCAGGCAGGAACTTGCCTCTTGCCCAAACAGCCCCTTGGCCACGCGTCTCCTCCTGCCACAGCTGCTCACGGCCCGGCGCGACACCAGCCACGCTCCCTGTTGGTCAGGCTGCTCGGGGCTGCGCGCAGGCTGTTCCTTGGCAGCTGTGTCCCACCAGAGTGGGAGCAGCAGCGCCGGGCTCACGGCGCCAGGCAGGTGCCTGGAGGTGACCCTGCTGAGCCTCAACGGCGGCCGGCCGACAGCACAGCACGGGCAGGCACCCCGGCCGTGGCTGCAGGGACGGCGCCTCAGCCATTCGCCTGCCCCAGGCGCGCCCGCCGGACTGGGCCTACCCGCTCATCCCTGGGACCAGCCTAGGAGGCCCCGAAAGACACCTTAGGGCTTCGGCTGGTTCACAGGTTGAGCACAGTTTGCCCACAGTCAGTAGGCTATAAATAGATTAGATAGGTTATAAGATAGGTAGATGGATAGATAGAGATAGATTGATAGATAGATGTGGTGGTTTCACTCTAGGCCTTCCTGGAGACCAGCTTGTAACCAGGAAGGAACTAGAAAAGTGATCACGGAAGTATTCCATGCTATTCCTTTACGTAACTTGAGGTATAAATAAAGCCAGCAGGAGGGACCTCGCTCTCTTCCTTTCCGGTGAGGTTCGAGAATGGTGGGTCCCTGTCTCGGTCTGGAGCCGAGGCCTACAGTGACTGCTGTTATCTGCCACACATGAGGGGAGAGCCAAGGGCCATGTCTAGCCATCCTGCCTGTTCGAAGGGAAGTGGTGAGATTTCTGCTAGTTTGCCTTCGGTTGGCTGGTTGACTTGTTCGGTCCTTGCCCCTTTTTGTCCTTCTCCCTTCTCCCTCCCCCCTCTTCCCTGGAAGTGCTCCTGGTGTGTGGTATTCTCATTTTGTGTATCTGTCTCATATGTAAAATATATATATATATATATATATATTTTTGCTATAGCTTTGGCTGCTTGGTTTTTTTCCTTTTCCCTCTCTGGGAGGCGGGTCCTTGTTGTCGAGTTTCGGGGGACTTGGTGGGAAGCCAGCTCGAAACTTGCACAATAGATTAGATAGATAGATAGATGGATAGATTGATAGAGAAATAAGATTGATAGATAGATAGATTATATAGGTAGATAGATAGATAGATATTAATAGATTATAACTTTTCTTCAATAAAACCTTCAATTTCACCCAAATTCCTGAGTTGCGTGCATACGAACAAGGGGATTCAAATACAAAACGCTGAGATGAAGTCCAGTTTTAAATTCCAGAGGGCCTTTTCATAGAATCATAAAATCTTGGAATCATTTGGGTTTGAAGGGACCTCTGAGATCATCAAGTCCAACCCTTGATCCACTACCGCCCTGGTTACTAGACCATAGCATTGAGTGCCACCTCCGTTTTCATCTGAAAAACCTCCAGGGACGGAGAATCCACCACTTGCCTGGCCAGCCCATTCCAATGCCTCATTACTCTCTCTGTAAAGAATTTCTTCCTAGTATCTAACCTAAACCTCCCCTGGCAGAGCTTAAGACCATGCCCTCTTGTCTTACTGAGAGCTGCCTGGGAGAAGAGACCATCCCCCACCTGGCTACAACCTCCTGTCAGGGAGTTGTAGAGAGTGAGGAGGTCTCCCCTGAGCCTCCTCTTCTCCAGGCTAAGCAACCCCAGCTCCCTCAGCCTCTCCTCATAGCACTTGTGCTCCAGTCCCTTCACCAGCCTCATTGCTCTTCTCTAGACCTGCTCCAGCACCTCCACATCCTTCCTGAACTGAGGGGCCCAGAACTGGACACAGCACTCCAGCTGTGACCTCACGAGCACTGAGTCCAGGGGAAGAATCACTTCCCTGCACCTGTTGGCCGCACTGTTCCTGATCCAGGCCAGGATGCCATTGGCCCTCTTGGCCACCTGGGCACACTGCTGGCTCATGTTCAGCTTCCTGTCAATCCAAACTCCCAGGTCCCTTTCTGCCTGGCTGCTCTCCAGCCACTCTGTGCCCAGCCTGTAGCGCTGCAGGGGGTTGTTGTATCCAAAGTGCAGGACCCGGCACTTGGCCTTGTTGAACCTCAGCCTGTTGGAATCAGTCCAGCTCTCTAGTCTGTCCAGGTCCCTCTGCAGAGCCCTCCTGCCTTCCAGTACATCGACGCTCCCCACCTACAATTTAGTGTCATCTGCAAATTTGCTGATGGTGGACTCAATCCCCTCATCTAAATCATTGATAAAGGTATTAACAGAACTGGGCCCAACAACTGATCCCTGGGGGACACCACTAGTGACCGGCCACCAACTGGATGCAGCATTATATAATTTCTCCCAGATTTTATTTTGTTGTTCACAGTATTTAACTGAAACTAATCAGTAAATAGGAATGATAATTCCACAGCATTTCATAAAATTAGTGGCATTTCATTTATTGGTAAGAGATGCTAGCCACCAAATTCCAGTTGTCAAACTTTATAAGAATAAAGAGAGTTCCAAAATCATCCCTCCAGGAACTGTATTTTTTTTTTTTTCCAGAGGAATAGCTATTCACTCCTCTTGGAAAACTTGAGAAGGTATACTTCAAAAAGTCTGAAAGACTTATGAATATCCCCTTGTACTAGCTTCTCATTCCTTTTGGGGTTTTTTTTTGTTTCCCCCAGTTTTTACGTAAGATGACAAAAAATTCCTTCTGTGCTTTTGAAAGTTTATAAAACAATTGCACAAACAGTGTTTATTCATCCAGCTCAACCACGTTTCAGTGGGTCTTTTCTGGTCTTAGGCAAACAACCTCAGCAGATGTTTTTCATCACTGCTACAGTATGTGACCAGGAAAGAAAGTAGTGTGGCCAGAAAATTCCTACTCTTTGGTCACCCTGGGGGCTACAGTGGCCCGGGGAATACATAGAGAGTTCCCTGGCAATATACAAAGGACTATATGATGGCACTAGAATTAGAGAGAAATTTAAGTGCCCTATCCTAGCTTTGCACACCCTCCCTTGCACTGGTCTGGGAGCATAAAAACCAGAACAAACAATCTGGGCCATTGTGTTGGGGAAGTAAATCTCTTAGTAGGAATGTCCCTGGTTAGTCATTTTGTGGTTTGATAACAATTTTCTCCACTAATCCATCTTCCCTAAATAAACTGAACTGCTTTGTTGTTTGGATTGGGACAGCCCAGACTTGCTGTAATTTATTTTTTCAATTAAGACATCTTTATGATTTTCTACATTTGTTGACTGGGATATGAAAGCAACTTCCCATAGAGCCTTTGAGTTCATGAGGAGGGAGAGACAGAGATCATTTCCTCCAGCATGCTGGTTTTGTTGTGATAAGTTTTTTGATTTTGGGTTCTGTCCTTTTGAGTGTTTTGTTTGTTTGTTGAATTGCCTATAATGTGTGTTACAGAGATTCTCTTAGGCATCGTATGTCCTTTTCTTCTTTCTAGCAGCAATCAGACAACTGGTATATAGTATCTTCGGTGTGCAGCTCTGATGGAATCACATGGTATAGGACATGCCTCTTCCAAAATTCTGCTGAAATTCTGCTTCTTTGTGCTCTGGACTGTCACAGCCATTGCTGGTGCTATCCAACCAGCCATATTTGTTACTGCTCCTTACCTCAAAACTAATGCAAGATTATGTTCCGTATGTAAATGTTTTAAAGCCAAATCAGGTAAAATTAGCTTAAGTAACAGACAAAAGGACAGGAACCAGGATGGGCATGTGTTTAAAGTATCAGTCTGAGGCTTGGTAGATCTGGTTCCAGTTTCTAGAACTGTCAAGGAATATTTGTATTATATCCAACAAGCTGCTAAATCTTTTGGGCATCAGTTCTCCAGCTATAAAGTGGGGGGATGATATCATCTTCCCTTGAAGAATAATTGTGGGGATGAAGTTGTCTGCTAGGGCTCCAAGGTAAGATGGCAAGGGCTGATCTCATAGAAATGATCTCATTGCTTAGTGGTTTAGGTTCCAAATCTGCCAAGTGGGAACAATAACTTTGCTACATCTTCAGGTCTGTTATGAAACTTACTTCAGGAATATATGAAAAAAACACTTTCCTTTACATCCTACCTTTTCTCAAGGGACTGACTCCGCAGTAAACCAGCAGCTTCCTCACACTCACCAGAGTTTTATGCTAAAGGCGCTTGGCTCCAATATCTAAGCCAGCTAAGGCTTTCCAATGTAAACCCTCAAAGAAGGGATCATTTAATGATTACCATGTTCATTTAGATTCCTCTTAGTCTTTTGCCTTGTACATTGTAACTCTGGCTTGCAAGTTCCCCAAGCAATTTTCTCATGTTAAATTTGTTATTCCAAGAGAAGGAGAACTGTATTCATTAGTTAAACTCCTGTATAGCAGGAAGAATGATGCCAACAACAACCGATTGTCAGTGCTTTTCTCTTCAAGACTGTACTTAGTCTTTGCTGTCATTTGAGCACTAAATCACTTACAAAAGGAACAGAAAAGTAGTTCCCAATTAGAGAAGTAAAAAATAAAAAAGATTATGATATCTCTCCCATTCTTTTCAAGCTAGAAGCTTGAAAATTAAGATGGTCTAGTAAATTTGAGAGATGCAAACAGATGTCTGATGTGGAATATTTCCTCTCTTAATATAAATTACACATGCATGTGTTTATGCACCCTCCCTCTTTCTTGTCAGGCCGCGTTTTGTTGTATCTTTTGGATGTCCGGCAGTTCTTCCTAAAACCAATAGTAATTGGAGTGAGATCTGCATTCTGAAGCAAGATAGGAATCCTCACTTTAGAGTTTCCTGAAATTCTGAGGCCATTGATGGCAATATGCAAATGCAGCTTTGATGAAAAACTACCCCTGTACAAGGAAGATGTCATTTTTTACAAAAAGATCTGTGGGTTTGCTTCTGTAACCAGAATATGTTCCCTGAATACTAGAAAAAGACAAGTTTGTTGTTCTACGACTACCCAAAATTTTATGAACTGTTCTGGTAGCAACAAACACATGCATGTTATGTTTTTGTTAATCACTGTTTAGAAATTACCTGTGCTATGTTCAGCTAGAAAAATGCTGTGTCCCAAGCCCTCACATCCCTGTGCAGTGCCCAGCTGTGTTGTATTGACCGTTTTTTTCTCAGCAAAATTCCTACAGGGGAAATGATGTTATTCTAGAATGAGGGTTAACAGAACACACATTTCTTTCAATTAATTTTTTCATATTTTCTAAGCTTTCTTTTATTGGTACCTCTTTTCCTCTGTTTTTCAGTTTCTCCAATAAATAAATAAAGATCTGTCCATTGCTCTGGTCCATTAATCTGGTTCATGTGAGGGGTCTCCTAAACATGCAATTACTCTGCAGGGGAAGAAGAACAAATGTCTTAAAGATTTTTGGAATGTGAGGATGTCAGCCAAATCTCTGAGAACTTTCTGGGGGTTAACAGCAGCCCTGTGTTTTCTGATATGATTTGTTTTAGAGGGATTTCCCTTCTAGAGACTTAAAGAGTTGCTCATTGATCAGGCCCTTCTTCACAGCACATCAGGAAAACAGA